GTGTCTTAGGTGTCTGACACAGAGAAAGAGAACTGCTATTGTTCCTCACTTCAAAAGTTTAGGCATATATAACCTTCCACTTTATACTTTATGTAGGGATACTTCCATTGGCTCCATGTTTATCATGAAGATTCAGGCGTAGTTTCATAAAGTAGACAAAGAATTTCTGAAATGCAGCATGGCGTTTGCAACTTTATCGCAAGAGGCAGATAGAAAAATGCAAGGCAATCCATAACAAGGGCAAATGAAGATGTGGAGTTACAGGCACTGCCACAAACTGCTGGTGAGGATAAATGAGTTCAACTGCTATAGTAAATAATTATTGTGCAGGATTAAAGTTGTTTATACCCTAGTAGACTCAGCAGTTCAACTCCAAACTATATACTCCAGAAAGACTCTTACCTTCATGTTCTAGTAGATAAATGAAAACTAAATGTTTACTATAGAAATTTTCAGATTAAGCAGAAAGTGTAAAACATGGCCGCTGGCTGGAAATTGCTCAATAATCATTGTATAGCCATAGAATTGAATACCCTAGGCTCCAAACAGGTAACAAGATAACATGCCCTTTATGAACATAAATGATTTTTAAGAGCCTAAGAATCAAGAGAATGTCATAAATGGTTATAAGTAATAATATTGCTTATTTTTTTAAAGGGCAATGGAGTGTCTCAGCTGGCAGAAGCACTTACCATGCAAGCCTGGGGACCCGAGTTCAAACACCAGAATCCGCACTTAGAAGGAGTGAATAAACTCCAGCAAGTTGTCCTAAGAAGTCTACATGCCCATCCTCTCACAGACAGACAGACAGACGGACACAAAGAGAGAAAATAAAAACTAAAATACACTGGCCCCAAAACATTGATGTAATGATGCCTAATGACATTCTTCTATGCTCATAGATTGATGCCTATCCACATTGTCATCTTAGAGGCTTCATCCCAGCAACCAAGGGAAACAGGTGCACAGACTCACAGCCAAACACTGGGCAGACCTCAGGGAATCCTGCTGAAAAGAGGAAGAAAGGATTGCAGGAGCCAGAGAGGTCAAGGATACCACCAGAAAACTCACACAATTAACTAACTTGAGCTTATAGAGGCTCACAGAGACTGAACCAACATCCAGGGAGCCTGTATGGGACTTACCTAGACTCTCTATGTATTTTATAGTTGTGGAGCTTGATCTTCTTGTGGGACTCCTAAGAGAAAGCAGGGGCGATAGCCACTGCTGTCACATGCTTTTGTGACCCTATTACTTATACCGGGATGCCTTGTCTGGCCTTAATATGAGGGGAGGTGCCTAGTCCTACTGCAACTTGACATGCCATGTTTGATTGATAACTATGGAAAGCCCGCCCTTTTCTGAAAAGAAATGGAGAAATGGATGGAGAGGAAGCAGATGGTCTCTGAGAGAGAGGGGAACTGGGGGCAAGGACTGCAAATAGAGGAGGGGGAAACTGCCCTCAGGATTAAATAATAATAATTATAATTATACTGAAAATTATTTTAAAATGCAAAAACCCTAGAAAATACAAAAAATTCTGGTTAAAGAAAATGTATAGAAATGCTCAATAAGTTTATTCACAGGAATATTTAAAGAACACCAACCATCATATAAAACTTATAATTTTAATCATGAGGGGAAAATATCAAAGTCATCAAGCAGTATTGAAACATCTAAATTATGGTGGATGGTAGTTGCAAGCCTAATACCATATGCTCACTGTGTAGCTGAGCAGTTAGAAATGTTTCATATTGTTTGTGAGCATAATGCAATCTTTGAAGACACCGTGGCATTTTCCTAGAACACACAATATGAGCCCTTTCTAATCCAGAGAGCTCACTTCCACAAATTTTCACAAAGAAAATGAAAGCATATGTACATAAACCAATCCAAATGGCATCCTTATAACCATATAATTTGTTATGTTCCAAAGCTGATGAAACCGCAGGCAGTCTAAAATATACTTTGCAAAGGTATTTTCCTTCACAGTAAAAAGGGGACTAAATGCCAGTACACAGCACAGGATGGATGAATCACAAATACCATATGCATGAAATAAGCCAGGATCCTAGTTGGAGAGGCTGCATAGCCCTAAGTCCATGACGACTCAGTCTCTAGAAATAGTCAGTAGAAGAATCAAATGATAAGGAGAAATAACCAGCAGAAGAAACAAAATGTAGTTTCTTGGGCAGAATGAGGACTTTGGTAGGGACTGCATAACTAAGAGATGTGTCTTCTGTAGTGATGTAGAGTCATAATAGAGTTGAGAGTTATAGAAGAATATGCATTGTCAAAACCCCTCAAGATACAACACTGAAGGTATTCGCAGTTGTGACAGGTAAGCTACAACCCTAAAATAAATTTTGGAGGACATTACTTGTTTTAGTGTGCTTTGCATTTCTCTGCCCACTCTTCTTGCCTTTTCTTCTCCTCTAAATATCATTTGAATACACAGTGTTTCAAACTTAAAATATATCTGCTAATATAGACATGCGTAAAATGTGATCCCAGGCATCAAAAGAAAAGGAAAGAATTTAAGTGCTGGCTGGCTCTGTCACAGCAGGGGTCCCCTTCATGAACAAGATAGACTCTCAACAGCAAATATGTTTGTGAGTGGTTCATTATAAATAAGTGATGGCTGCATGGGGACACAACCTTCATCTACACAGTGCAACAACAGTCTCCAGATACAGAAAGTCCAGGGAAGACAGTATTTGGGATCACTGAGAGAAAACCTGTAGTAAATGGAGTACAGATAGGTTGAATGCCTTGGGAGACCGTGAAGCTCACCTCTAAGCCTCTGTGATCTAAAGGCAGTTTAATTTACCACAGGGGTAGGGATAAGAATACATAAGAAATGTATCTGACATACATTTCCAGTTCACAGACTATCACTGAGGGAAGTCTGCACTGGAACTCAAGAAGAAACCATGAATAAATTCTTCCTTTCTGTCTGTCTATCTATCTATCTATCTATCTATCTATCTATCTATCTATCTATCTATCTACCTACCTACCTACCTACCTACCTACCTACCTACCTACCTACCTATCTATCTATCTATCTATCTATCTATCTATCTATCTATCTATCTATCTATCTATATCTTTTTCTCTCTCCTTGTGTGTGTGTGTCTATGTATGTGTCCCCGTTTTTCTGTCTCTCCATCTGTGTCTCTGTATGTGTGTCTCCCTGTGTCTTTCTGTCTCTCTGTGTCTGTCTGTCTGTCTGTCTGTCTGTCTCTCTCTCTCTGTGTGTGTGTGTGTGTGTGTGTGTGTGTATGTGTGTGTTCCTTGTTTGCTGTCTGCTAGATTTCTTAAACATTACAAACTTACCTGCCAGCATCTACAGTGGGCCAGGAGCTCTCCATCAATCACCAATCAAGACTGTTTCTTACAGACATGGTCACAGACCAATGTGATGGAAGCAGTTCTTCAACTGAGCTTTGACTCTGTGTTATGTCCAGTTGACAGAATAAACAATCCAGAGGTTGACATCGGCCGGTTTTTTTTTTTTTTAGTTTAGCTTAGGGAAACTACCCTGTAGTTTATGTGTATACTCCCATTACTGTGGGAGAAAGAACCTGGCGTGTAGTTTGTATCCTCCAATCTCTGTGGCATGAGGAATCTGCTACATGATTTACATGGTTTTCCCAAGACTACAGCATGGGTAAACAGTCAGTAATCTCCCTTTGTTTTTTCCTTCACTTCTCCACAGGAGCTGTAAGAGATAAACACAATTTTTTCCTTCGTTTTTAAATTGATGATAAAGTCTCCAGTGTCACACACCCAGAACATGTTGCATAGCTAACATTTAGAAATAGTGAGAAATATCATTGTCCACTACACAATTGTGGCCTTATTTTCCCCAGGGCATATGTTCTTTCTCTTGCAAACCTCAGTTTGAACTATACAACTTGCCTATCACCACAAACAATCCTTATGTCCTTCTGCAGGAATCTTCAATTGTTCCATAATATGATACTATGCACTCCAACTTTTAAAGGTCCTCCTAGTACGCAATAGAGAAGTGAAAGGGATGGGAAACAGTAATGATGCGAGATTGTTAATAAACTCACCCATCCCAGTTCCGGGGCGCAGAAATTCCATGTAGTGTACATAAGGTGATTGCAGTTCCAGTAGCCAGGATTTGTGCATATCAGTGGTTCACATTATAAATTACCTCAGTCAGACAGACAAATAAGTTCTGCAAAATTCATGCTGCTGAATAGAACCAGCATCCAATAATGCTGGATTCATTTTCGTGGGAATTTCATTTTATATTCATTTAAAACTCAAACAGATCAGGCCGTCCAAAGGTCAGGATCTGTAAGACAAAATAACTTCTCTGCTAGGGGGACATGCTTCAAAATTATGGTGTTATGCCAGAGGTCATTCTCGGAAAATCACTCCTCTGAATGTTAAAAACAATGGTCTAGTGAACTAGACATAAAAATCAGAAAAGACAGTATTCTCTTCCTCTGTACTGGCATGGACTTCCACCCTTAATTAAAGCTGCCTGTCATGTTCTTCCTAGTAATCACAAACTTAATTCGATCACACAAAACCCTGTCATATATCCAACAACACACTCCCTTGCCATTTGGGTTTTCAAAGATGCCAAATGAGTGTATGCAAAGTTCTAGATTCACATACAAATTTTATTTACATGAAGCACTTAAGATATTATTGATGGGGGAATTCTTTCTGAGTATATGTTATTTTATTGGTTGATAAATAAAGTACTGTTGGCCAATAGGGAAGCAAGATAGGTGGGACTAGAAGTCAAGGAGGATTCTGGTAAATGTCGTCAGGGATGGAGAGTTGTTATGTGATCCCAGGAGGAGAGGACACATCAGGATGTTGTCCTTGGAAAGATAAGTCCTTATAAAAATATATATTGGTAATTATGGGTTAATAATTAACTCAGAGCTAGCCATTAAGAAACCACAGCAAATGGCGCCAACAGCTTCATAATTAATATGTTTGCCATCCAGTCACTCAGTCTTGACGGTGCAGATAAAAAACGGAACCATTTGTTTTGGTCCAGCATTTGCCATGGACAAGATGGCAGGACCTGTATGCTTCAGAATGAGTTTCTCATCCTCAAATTTCTCTCCATAAATTGACCTGCCTCCAGTGCCATTATGGAATGTGAAGTCACCACCCTGGCACACGAATCCTGGGACAATTCTGTGAAAGGAGGAACCCCTATATCCAAATCCTTTCTCTCCAGTGCTCAGAGCATGAAAGTTTTCTGATGTCTTTGGAACTTTGTCTGCAAATAGCTTGTAGGAGATGTTGCCCCAGGGCTCGCCATTGGCGGTGATGTCGAAGTGCACGGTGTGATTGACCATGGCTGAAGGAAGAGATGACAGAGGACAGTGGCATCTGCAAAGTCAGGAATGATTTGTTAATTTTTCAGTGTCCATAATGGTTCAGATATTCCCCAATGATTTTGCCTTCCAATAGGACTCCAAACTCACACTTTATCTGCCAGTTTTACACAGGACATAAATTATGCTCAAACAAATACATATTTGTAAAAGAGGGAAAGAAAGGAGTTTGTGTCATTTTCATAGGACCTCTTCATCCACTAACCACAAACATCCTGGAAAATAAGAGGCAAAAGTGCCGATGTCCTTGTAAAACTGCCCTATGGACCCTGGTGATTCCTGGGTTGTATCAATCCAGGAACTTTGCCCCTCTATGGTTCAGAAGACCAAAAATTTCATTAATGGAATTTTAAGGTCCTCTAGAGATAAAGAAATGTGACACAAAGAGATGAGAGCATAAAACTGATTGTTAAACAAAGCAGCTAAGGATTTCAGAAACAGGCAAAGAAGAACAAGTGCTTGAGCAGGCAGGCAAAAAAATCTTTCCTGATTTCTAATTTTTGTTGTGTTTTCAGAGTCTGTCTGAATACAACCCCTAAGTTTCTGACTTGCCTGCACTGGTCTGTGGGCCACAACCCACATACTGTGCAAACACAGAAAGGTTACATTTTCTTCCAACAGGAGAAAAAGGGAAAGGATAAAACTTTTGTCTTCATCTTATAACGAGATGCCCTGATCCCTCTACTCATTGTGACTAACTGATGACCACCCTTGCTGGGGTATTTCATGTGGGAAGAGTGAATTTCTCTCTCAGGTTATACTCACTACTAAACAACATACACATCTTCCTAATCCAAGGAAGTGCAATCAATCTATGATCTCTTTATTTATTAAACAGGATGACATTAAACCCCAAATCTGCACCCTACATATTAATGACAGTTGCATGAAACTGCTTGGGCAGAAGTACACTTCTCCCCCCAATCCCACCCCGCAGCTGGTATTGCTGAAATAACAGAACCGTGCTGGTTTACTACAGCAAGATCTTTCTGTAACAAAAAGAACATTTTGATAAGCTGTAGTGGTATCTAGCCTAACCAGAGTATTTGTGTCAGTGGCTGCACTTTTTTGGGCGTGGCTTCAGGTGCTGAAGGAATATGAAATATGCATGAGGCAGGGATGAGGACTCTCTTGTATGCTAGCTCTCTCTCTCTTTCTCTCTCTCTCTCTCTCTTTGGTTGTGGATTGTATCAGAAGGGCAGAGAAAGGCTGCGATTGTTCTTTATTACTATCTTAATAATATTAATGACTATAATATTAAGCTGTTCCCCAATGAACAACCAATTTATCATTTACCTTGGGTCTAGTGAATTCATTATCACCTGCCTTCAAGAAGTCAAATGTTTCATTTGTTTTTTGTTTGTTTGTATCTTGTTTTGTTTTATTTTTGAGTAGTAAATTGACCTGCCTCACAGGCCAGCCATCACTCCACACTGTAGGTTCGATATTTGACATTTTTTAGCTCCCTGTTATCCACAGAGGAATAACTAGGTTTTTCTCCCGTATTGGATAGAACACCAAATCTAAATTTAATAAAATGTTTTAGTATGTCCGAACTATAAATGTCAACTCTAACAAGTGCAATTCTTAATCTTAATTCTTTAATAGAATGGGAGCATCTGAGGAATATTAAGTAGTCCAGAACACAAACTGTGTGCTTAGAAGCTATCGATAACCCTTGAAGGCAAAGTCAGTTGGCACACACTTAAGGTGTATTTCAAAATGTGTTTCAGAATGACAGATTAGACTAATATCCATTTAAAGGTAGGTGATTTTTTTTTACTTTGCAGGGAAAATTACTTTTACCCTGAAGAGAAAACAGTACAGGGCTTTTGGTTTGAAAAATATCACACATTTTCTTCAGAGCTTAGTGGAAAAGGTTATATTTAAATGTAATCCTTCTTTCGTGTGTACAAGATTTGTCAGTTCCTTTTCCTTAGCATCTTGGTGGTCATTTCTTCTTAACTAGTCTGAATACAGCTGCCTGTGTTCAGGCGCTTTTTCCCTTGTTACTCTATAATAAATATAATAGAGTCTCCTCTATCTATCTATCTATCTATCTATCTATCTATCTATCTATCTATCTATCTCTCTCTCTCTATCATCCATCCATCCAACTATCATCTTTCCCTCTTTATCTAGTAGTTTTGTGAGTGTATAAATAGGAACCCAATATTATATAAAATAAGCCTCCACTTCCAGAGCTCACAGGATGGCCCTTGGTAAAGTGTCTGCTGCTCAAGCATGAAGACCTGAGCCCCCCCTCACACTCCCATATACCCAAATCCACATAAAAATCTAGACCTTGTAGCTTGTGCTTGTAATCTCTGCCCTCGGGAGGCTGGCTGGAAGGATCATTGAGGTTTACTGCCCATCCCGAATATTGTACTTGGTGGTCTCCAGCTCAGGATGAGAACCTGTCTCCAAAATAAGGTTGATGGCTCTTGCAAAACAGCACCTAAGGTTGACCTCTGACCCCACCACATACACATACTTACACATGTACACATACTTGCACACATGTACAAACATATGTGCTCATGTACACTACCACACATAAACATATGCACATATACACGCATACACATATGCACACATGTACACATACATGCATACTTGTACACACATGTACATATACATGCACACACACACATACATTCTCCTAAGGAAAAATTCAGAACTCAAACAGTGGCCTCTACTTTCTCTCTTCTGAATAAGGGCCATCAAAGTGCCCTGCTGAGAACCCTGATCCTGTCAACAGCAACTGTGAGCATGATCTTGGGGATCTGAGAATGGTTTCTGTTCTAGATTCTTCCTCAGGAAGCAAAGCAAAGAGCTGGAAGTCCCACCAAGACCCTCTCTAGGCCACCTCTGACCAATGAGGGCAGTGGATACAGAGTTGGTAGTAGTGTCCTGTGATTGTTGAAACTCCTCCTAAAGACCTCCTAAGCTCTCTGTATGATTATTTTTGTACCAGTGATACTGAGCACATTTAGGATTCCATGCATCTACAAATTGTTCAGATAACACACAGCACTGGGAAGGACCCCCTCCCCCAGCACACACACCCAGGTCTCAATCATTTGTACCCACCTTTATCATGACAAATGAATTCTAGTTTCCTGGTATAGAAGAAAGTAGTGAGGGACTGGGAAAGAGAAGGGGTAGATGCTGAGAGATCACTCTACAGATCAAAAATACCACCACAAAGTTTGATAAAAATTCCTCTTTTTACTTGGTTCAAAACAGCTTTTAAATGTTACTCTGATGAGTCCTATTGAAAATTGTTTTACTTAGGGTTTCAGAGAGGACTCAGTAGCTAAACTGCTTGTTGCAAGCAAGAGAGGCCCTCACCTACATGCCTGATGGACCTGGTTGCCCTTCTGCAATTCCATCATCAGAGTGGGAGAAAGCATCCTAGAAGTTAGATAACTACCAAGAACCCCCGTATATAGGAGCTCTGGGTTTTTTGAGAGACACTGGCCCAGTGAGTAACATGGAAGAGGGATGAAGGAGGATTCCAAACCTCAGCCTTTGTCCTCCACATTCTCATTCCCCCTCACACACATGCACAACATACACACAAACCCACACGTTAAACAGGTTTTTAAAGGTCCTGCTTAGAAACTCTACAACGTTGGCTATTTTCCAGTTCTCACTGCTATTAATTTATGGTTTTCGTCCATGTGATCTGACAGCACAATTATACCCTCTGTCTTTTGTGATTGCTAATCCTTGCACACTCCCAAAGTTCTGTTTAGTCGTTGTGTACATCCCAGTACTGGTAGATGTAGTTAGCCATCAGTACTGGCACTTACACTGTATCTTATCTCTGAGAGAATATCACATTATTCTCTAAAAAATTTCATTTTGATTTTATTACATCTTTTTGTAGTCTTAGAACATTGAGCATTTGGCTTAGAGTCAGTTTGCAAGGAGATGAAGACTCTAACCATTGCAGACTGCATGGTCTAGATCAAAAAGTCAGGGATGATTAATACGTGCGTGCCACTCCTTCCAGCCCAGCAAGTTTATGTATAAACATGACCTGTCACTTAAAATCTACTAAACATGGCTGGAAAAGAATTGCATTGTGGCCTGAAGGGAAGTTTAGACTGACAGTGTGTTAACTTCCCTGAGCCAAGTGACATCTTCACATGCTGAAATAACTGGCTTGTAGATTGTAATTAAGTTCGGCTTTGTGATAGTGGTATACAGTAGTGATATAGAGGAGTATAATTTAATAGCCTTTTCCCAGATAGATTAACATCTCCAATTATAATATCCATCATTCTAGGATACTCTAGATATGAAAAATATTTATTCCCAACAATGTTGAACTTACCTGAACCCAGAGATACAACAACTCTTGAAGAAGCTCTTGGCTTTGTTTTCCACAATGCCCAATCTTCGTATATTCTTTCAAAGAATGCCATGCTCTTGTGTTGTACATGAAAATTCAACTTCCATCCCTGTTTGTATTAATCCTGAAGCTCCTTTATCTTTGAGATATTATTCAGCATCAATATCCAATGGCAGCCTGGAAGACCATCTTTTCAACTCTGCCTCCTTTCTCAGTTACTGCAGGAGTCCATGTCAAGTGTTTTGCTGATACAACACAATTCAGTGAAAGGTTGGTACTGAATTTCCCTTAGAGGTTGTACTGTTGAGCCTGGCTGGGTGCCTGTGCCATGAATGCCCATGCTTTCTGAATGTCAGCTATGATAGAAGCAGTCTCCCCTCATTCTTCTTCCTCCATTTTCTACTTTTCCCTTGTGCTCATGGATGGGAGAAAGAACACCAGAGGCAGCTCCCATTTCTCTTCTGTGTTTGATAAGCATGAGGTAAATAGGAAGCTAAAACAACAGCCAATACTTCTGCCATTTTTCTATGTTCTTGTTTGGAACTACCAAGGATGAAACCTTAGACATACAACTTTTTACGGGAAAAGAATGAGATGG